CCACCCACCCATCCATCCATCCATCCATCCATCCATCCATCCATCCATCCATCCATTCACTTCATCTTTGTTGTATTTCATTTCATCGTGCGTTGTAAGTTTGTTTCTTCTCTGTCTATTCATTCATTACTATTATTCTTCCTTACGAGCAAAGAACGACATCTCACTTCAAGAAACAAGTTTTAATGCTACGGATAATGAAACACCAAACGTGCCAGAATATGAACCAATAAAAAAGCTAGGATTATCGACGAGTAATGCTGGCATCCCTGAATATGAAGCAGTGACAACAAGAACCCGACCACATCCACCACATTCTGGTGTACGGACGAATTACCCCATGCCTCAGTATGAAGGTGCAGATCAACATGGACAAACAGAGGCTGTTTCAAATGCACCACCAGTCACCTATCAGACCATCCAACCTCGTACTGGTAACTATGATTCACTGAGTCCTTTCACACGGCTGCCCCCTAAGGGTACAGTACTGTCATCCACAGGAAGCCCAAGACGTACAGGAGAGTACCAGGCCCTTCAACACAAGGGTGTATCTCCACAGTACCAGTCTCTGGATGACTTGAACAAATGTTAAGTGAATATGGAACAAGATGAGGCATTGCCTTGTGCTTTTAAAAATGCTACTAATAGAGTAAATAATATGCGGGACATCTGTATCTTTACTGATAGCACACTCACTCCTCCAGTATTAAAGACACACTTGCAATTTAATTTGATCACAATTTTCACTTTTCTTCGGTTCTTTTTCTAGACACATTGATCATGCTAGACAGTCTTGTAATAATCAAGTAAATCATACACAAATATCATAAGCTTAAAGAAATTCAAGAAAAAAAAAAGGCTTTCAAGGAAGCGATTTAAWTTATATTTGTCAACCAACAGCATTCAATACAATATGCTGACACCGCAATAACCAAGCTATATTGGATTTCAATCACCTATTGATACTATTAACAATAAAGCAAATAATTCACAAATATCAATYGTAAGCTCATTTTTATGTTTSCTAGATTTCCTTTTACCWTGTGAGAGTTTTGATTTGAAATCTTGACGTAAAAGAAAGACAAACCAGTGCCTTCTCTCTCCCCTTACTGTACACCCTTTTTCCCGAGAGCCTGTTCGCAATTTGGTCGACCAACATGACCTGGTCCTTATGATCCTGAAAGAACTTCTATATAAAAAAAATTAGAATTTAGCCTTTTTCTTACCATGCCACCAAATGCTTTTAAGCCATTATTAGTTCATTGGTGTGTTTTTTGGTATTTTGAACTAATCAGTCGGCGGCCATTTTGAATTTTCTCTACTAATGTATATGAGCTGATAACTTAGTAGTAGAGTAGGCAATCAGAGCGCGCGATTGCTCATATTCAGCGATTACTCATATTCATATTCATATTTAGCCCGACTTAATATATTGTACAATGTTAAGTGACGCGAGACCGTCGACTGAAGACGACATTCCTGTGAAAACTTTGTGAGTAGAGTGTATTTGATTATAAAATCAAATAAATTTGTGAAATTCTGAAAAGAGTATGCTTTTTAGTATGGAATCGTTGGCTATAGTTTTGGTTTCTATATTGCTTTTTCGTTCCTCAGGTAAGGAATTGATTCTTTTAAGCACTTTATGGCTAAACATACAACTACACGTAATGGTTAAGCTCACTATAATAAGCTGTTTTTAGATGCTGGATCATTCACTTGGCTACATTCGGATGATACAGTGAATGTTGTGGAAGGTGACACGGCAAAGCTCAACTGGAGTGTTCGTATTAGTGCTGGTAAGACATGGGTAGCCGTCAAGATCTCAAGGGGCCTTAAAGATGGTGCTGGTCCAGGAGACGTCGACATGATATGAAGAAAGCCGTCTGGTGTAAAGATACTGCTACCCGAACGAGGTGCTGACATGGACTTAGATGTTCAAACAAATTTGAACGTTCTCAATATTACTTTCTCGCTTCGTAATCTATCAAGGAAAACTGACGAGATGTATTACAGAATAACTGTGTACGACGATTACTTTGACAGTTCTTGGAGAACCACGAAGTTGAACGTTTATGGTAAGTAAAAAAGGATGCTTTGGAGGTCTGAAATTGACATCTTACAATTTAAATAAATATACCCTGGTGTTGTTTTTACGCCCATTTTGCTCTTAAAACGGCTTGATTTTTTATTAGGAAATACTAATAGTATAGATAGTTTACTGATTTGGCGAAAAGGGGCTGTTAATATTTTGCTTCCGGGCACGACTGAAGATTAATAAGCTTAAGTGTATTTCACGGGTTTATGAATTGGTATATGAATAGAAGTTAAAGATCACATATTCTTACAGCTTTCATTTTCTATATGTGCGACATAAAAAAAATTTAATAAGCCTGAAGCGAGATGACGTTTTACCCCCGTCTCTAGACCATAATCCTTTTCACACTGCTYTTGTTCTTTAATTATGACTATTGTTCCTGTATTCTCTAAGGAATCAAAAATTTTAATATGAAAGAATTTTAAAAACTATTATGGTATAGAGTCGGGGATAAGACGTCATCTCGCTTCAGGCTTATTGACTATTGGGATCAGAACTTGCTTTTGGATAATAAAAGCTTCGATTCCTGGTTCATCGGTATCCGCTTGATTAACTTCACTTCCGCTTATAAAATGATGAAGATAGAATGCATAATTGAAAGAATACTTTGGTAATCAGAGTGGCCGACTGAGCAGTTTAAGATCTGATAATTCACGTGTGATCTTCGATTCCTAAGCTTCCTAAGCAAAAACTCAGGAATGATTCGTGACCAATGGATGGACATTCATCAGAAACTATGGTTCGATAGTGTTTGTGTTTTTCCACTTCAATATGCACTGTCAGTCCAAACAGGTTTTGTGTTGAAGCATTACGAATGATTCTCGAAAGCTGTAAATTAATTAAACAGAGCTCACCTCAAGTGGTCATTCGTGAGGCATACTCTAAAACATGGAATGGATTAAGTAAATATAACCAGCTAAAAACTAGTGTGAGAATGGAATGGATATGTACTTTTTCAAAACTGGTCTTGAGAGCAGAAACTGAGCAATATTATTTTGCTATACAACTAGTTATCTTTGTGATATATAAAATCTACAGTGGAACCCCGCTCTAAGGACACCCGCTTAATAAGGACACCTCGTTATTAAGGACAGGTTCCAAAGTCCCAACGAAAGCTCCATACATTTTCTGTTAAATTAACCCGCTTTATAAGGACACCCGTTAATAAGTACAAAGGACACATTTCTAGGACCTGAATGACAGTTTCCATACATAATCAACCCCGCATTAAGGACACTTGAAATTTGAAGACGTCTTTACTGTATTTGTTTACATCGCCAACTATTCCGGTTATGCGCCCGCGTACAAACGCAGCGGTGTCGCTTGAAAGTGTTAAGCGAGTTAAGTTAGACTTTACAAAGAAATGTATTAATAGAGAGTTAAGATAGTTTTCGATTTATAAATTTCTGTGTAAACAGTTTTCCACTTGCCGGGGTAGAAGAACAATATATAACATTAAAGCATTGAATTTTTACCAAACATACTTTAATTTGTTTGGAAAAACCTTTTCGTCTCGATAGTTAGATTTTAACAACCTTCTTGCCATAAGTGCTTTGTTAAATTGCAAGAAAAACACAAAAGGTCAAATATTATAAACAGCATCTCTCAAAA